GGGGGGGGGGGGGGGTGCTTAGGGCTTCAAGGTCGGGTTCTTTATCTTCAGCTTTGGATTTGGATTTTTTGGGGGTTGCAGGGCCTGGGGGTTGAAGGTTTGGGTGTTTAGGGCCCTGGGGCTTGGGGTGTGGGGCATGATCGGCGCTGACAGGTTTTACTACCTCATATCTTAAGGTTCACCGGCACTGATTCTTTGGGGGGCACGGGCTAGAAAGCATGAACACTTGAAGAGTTCAGCATGTGAGGACCATGCGACACAAGCATGCAGAGCGATGCTGGGAATACCCTCTCAATGCATCAGCTCTCCACTTACAAGTAGTACCGGTTGCAAAAAGATGCCTCCTGAACCTAAACCCGACACCCAAAACACTAAGCTCAAAGCACAGCTCCGAAGGCTTTTAACAAAAACGTGGACCTTCAACCAACCCCCAGTTCACTGCGAGATCTTCGGAGGGAGATTACTGGGTTCTATGTTCAGACCTGGACGCATGTCAAGCTGTAGCCCCTGAAATCTACTTTCGACGTGGATAACATGATGAACCGAACAAGCTCTGAGCTTCGGGGATGAAGATGAAGGAGCAGGGTTGGGGTTTAGGGTTTATTGACGGTTGAGGAGTGACGAACGAAATGAGAAACACCTGTGGCTTTTGCTCAGGGTGCCAAGTCTCCGAGCCTGGATATGATATGGTATGGTATGGTATGGTATGGTATGGCACGGTATGATGTGATATAAAATGATATGATAGGATAGGGTAGGATATGATGTGATGTGGTATGATGTGCTATGACGTGGTAATATACTATACTGCGCTCCACGCTACTATATGATATTATGTTGTAGTTGGCTTTAAGGTATTATATTATCTTACACTGTTGTATATGTATATTATATCATACTTAAACCTGTTATATTATGTTAAAGTCTAGTATATTTTACTCTAATGTGTTTTTGTATAGGTTAATGTGACATTGCATTATGATCCATCACATCATATCAGTCATGTCATAGCAACTTATATCATGACATGTCCTATCATGACATATCATATCCTGACATAACATATCAAAACATACTACGTATATTCTGCTATATTACACTATGCTGTATGTTCGGCTGTATTGCCATGCCTGGAAAACATGCTCTCCGGGCTCCCACACCTGCCGAAGCCAGCGAGAAAGGCCGGCAGAAACACGTTGACTCCGACGACCAGGGCAAGCCGGCCCCCCTGAGCCATGGCAAGTCCCGCCTGAGCTTGCGGCGTGGGATTTTAAGGTCTTAGGGGATGAACCCTACCTGAGCCCCAAACACGGTTTTGAGGACTTAGATAATATTATATCAGGTGCTCAGACATAAGGAGCACCAGAAAGGCATGTTTTTTAGAGTTCAGGTCAAGCTTACAAGCCGTGGGGAGGGAGGGGAAAGTTAAGGGATAGTTAAGGGCCTCAGGCTTGTGGAAGTTCTTGCAAACAAGGCAATAGACGTACCGGGCTGTACCCCAGGTGTGACTGCGCAAAGCTTCAAGCATCATTGCCAAGACTCAAGACGAGTGCAATTGCTGCTCATGCACAATCGCTACTTGCTCTCATACGGTAACAATCTGTCACCCATTAAAACGTTAGTGATGGGCCTTTCTTTGTCCATGACGTTTCTCCTCATGAGTGTATGCTCATGGACGTTGCTGCTTGTATGTGTGCACGTACTCATTACATGGTTTTAGCCGACAGACATGAAGGTGTCGTGGCTTGTCAAACAAAAAACGAAACAAGTGAGACAAGGGCCTTGATATCTGACAAATAGGACAGGGCCTTGGAGTATATCAGGATAAAAATGCGGCTAAAGAACAGTATTACTAACGATTCAGGCTTGTGTTTTGAAAGACTTGCAGGGCTTGTCGAATTCGTAAGTAAGCAGCCAAAGAAGACAACATACACCAAAACGCAATGCTTCGGGCATCTAACGGTACGCTGACACAGGGGTCGGGGTAATTTGGATAGGGTTTTTCTGGTAATTGAAAATGGAATCATAACCAAAGGAATAGTGCCAGTACTCATTTATTCGTGTCGGGCTCCAGCGCCTGTGAGATACACACATGAGGAGTGGTGGTTTCTGCTTCTGAGCTGCGATGAGGATCACTGGCCAAACAGAGGCCAGGATGTGTGCACGCTGGAGCGTTGGCTGCAATCCAAGGCTTCCAAGTAAGCACTCCTTGGGTGGAGGATATCGAAACGAGAACAAGAGGCAAGGGGTAAATTGTCCAGGGCCTGTCGCATCCCGAGGAAGCACAAACTTCATCCAATGCAGTGCCAGCCTCCCATGACGCGCCGGCCTCACCGGGCGTTTGCCCCTGTGCGAAGGCAACCGGCAAACACAGGTAGCTGAGCACTTCCTCCCACAGTGCGAGCACTTCCTGCCACAGTGCGACAGGGATGACAGGGTGCAGGCTTGGGGCTTTGGGTATTTCCTGTGTAGGATTTCTGCCGAGAATGCAACGAATCAGCCCCGTCTCCCGAAAAACTGCCCCTAACCTCGAAAGCAAGAAGCCTGACCTTCACAACAATACAATATACAGATGCATACAACAAACATATAAGTCACAAAGGCACACTTACTGTTTTACTTGATTATATTCTGTAGTATTCTGCTCACATGTTTTTTGACAAAGCTTCTGCATGTCGGCGTTAACTGGAATCTTCAGGCCGTAGATGTGCATTCTGCCGTCCTGGGTGGACTTCTCCATGTCATGCTGGAAGATTGGGGCTTGCATCGCGCCAGACCTTTCGGGCTTTTGGGCTTTTCAAAACGGGCTCCACAAGGCTTCTAGAAGAATTCTAGAAGGCTTCTATACGGATTCTTTTGATGCTCACACTCGGACTGAAGCTGCCACAATTTATCAGTGTCAATTCACGCAATCAGTACTTCAGGTCCTCAGCCCTTTCGGCAGTCAACGTTGCAACATCCCAGGCATGCAAAAAACTCATGCAGCTGCTGTCAGCTTCAGGATATCACTGTCAGAATTGTATGTCAATCGCCCACCGAATCATGCAAAGGCTTCGGGTTTAGCGTTTGCAGCTTGGAACCTTTCGACGCCATGAAGTTTGCATATCTACCGCTGAAGTGCGCATGAAGCGATAGACAAGGCTTCGAGGCCTGAAGGGGTTTAGGATCTCTGCCGGACTACAGATACCTGCTTGCAGGGTTGGGGGCGTACTGGGACCTCAAACAGTTGTCGCACATCAAAACAACTAGAGATTTCGACCTATGGCTTGTGGCTAGCAGGGCACATCGTGATGCCGGCCACCGCAGCAAAGGACATCAGCTGGTTGAGAAGTGTGGCGCTCGATGTGCGTTTGCCTTTTGCGCCAGCCACCTGCATGGAGTCCCAACCCAACAGTCTCTTGAGGTGCAATACCCCCTGACATGGCAAAACTGAACAGGAGTGCCATCCCACATTTGGCTAGCTTAGATCATACACATCTCGATGCAGGCTGGGGTAGGGACACTGACGGCGGCAGATGCGAACAGGGCCAGGTCCTTGAGGAGGCCAAAAACGACGTGCCGGAAGACCTGCATCCGGAAAGTTTGTCTAACGATATCCCCTAAACCCTAAACCCTAAACCCTAAACCCTAAACCCTGAACCCTAAACCCTAAACCCTTCTCTCTGTCGGTTCTCTTTTCCGGGGGGTCAGAGGACGAGGGAGTTGAGTTGCCCTAAGTATATCTCAGTCTCTCTGGCTCCATCCCCCTTTTTTAGGGTTTAGGGTTTAGGGTTTAGGGTTTTATCTCTCTCTCTGCCTCTCTCTCGCTCTCTGCCTTTCCCTCTACATAGGTGGGTACGTTATGCCTCACATCTTCGTCGTACGGCCGCACACACACGCACACTCAAACCAGCCACAAATTTTGCATAGATTCAAGTCTCCGAACATGGTGCTGCTATTTATTGAAGGTCCGCATGAATCTTGATAGCCTGTCTGTGGTTACAAGATATGCCATGCCTCACAACCATATTCCAGGTGCTTCAACCCCTCTTCAAAGCTAAACCCCTGAACCCTAATCCCATATGTATACATATATATATATATATATATATGTATGTATGTATGTATGTATGTATGTATGTATGTATGTATGTATGTATATGTATACACGATTCGATGCGTACAGTACTTGCATGTAGACACACACAAACATAATATATATATATATATAGAAATATATGTATGTAAACATATATATATATATATATATGATGCAGGGCTGCCACACACACCCTCTCCCCCACCCCATGGTATCCTCCCCCCCTGCCTCCCCCCGCCCTCCCCGTGGGGTGGGGCCTGTGGTGGTACCCTTCCCCCCCGCATGCCCCGCCCCAGTGGTTTAGTTGTCGTTGCATCTACTACGTTCTTGAAGTTCTTATGTGTTACTCTTGATTTTCCGTCTTGCTGTGGCACCGGTGATACTGCTCATGATGTTGTGCTGCTCTAGACGGCGTCGTGAGTCGACAATCGGATCATCTTTGACATCATGCTCAACATAATCATTGTCGTCGTCATCTTCATCAGCAGTACCATCAAAAGAAAAACTGCCACAATCACCATCGCCATACAACCTCATAATTGAGCATTGTAATTCATGTCTGATGCAGAAAACTGCTGCGCAAATTACCGCTTTCCGCACGGGGCACGGGTGGGGCACCATAGAGGTGGGGGGAAGTGCGGCACCCACATCCGCAGGTGGGGAAAGCCCCAAAGCTGCGCACCAATAAAGAGGGGCGTGTAGGGCCCGGACCCGAGAGCATATATGATCCCGGTTCGGCCAACCCCCCCTCCCCCCCAATGGTTGGTACCCGTACCCCTTCACCCTCTACCCTCTGCCGTAGTATGGTGTGGTTCGGGGTTTGGGTCTGCTTGGATCTCTCCCCCCTTGTGGTGTGGTGTGGTTCGGGGTTTGGGTCTGCTTGGACTCCCCTCCCCCTGTGGTGTGGTGTGGTTGGGGCTTTGGATTCGCCTGGGTGTTTCGCATAATAATCATCAGCCTGCATCAACATCAGCATCACTGCTTCGAGGTTTGCGTTTGCATGGGGGTGCCTCCTGCCCCGCCCTGCAGTGTGGCGTGGTTCAAACTTGGGTTTTCTTGGGGTGCCTGCCCTCGCCCCGTGTGGTGTGGTGCGGTTCGGGTTTGGATCTGCTTGGGCTGCGGTGTGGTGTAGTTCGGGGCATGCGTCTGGGGGGGGGTTGGTGATGTCACGAGCATGATCATTATCATGATGGTGATGATGATGATCATCATCGTCATCATGGTCATCATGGTCATCATGGTCATCATGGTCATCATCATCATCATCATCATCATCATCATCCCGTTCCTTTCTTCGGTCAACTGCCACAGGAAGCGGGCCTGTCAGGAACGCGATCCTCGTGACAGTTGCACTTCTAATGCCCTCATGTCGACGTCCCGGGTGGAAAGTTTCCACTGTCACGGGGATCGGGTGTGTTTGGGACGAGATCCTCGTGACAGTTGATGGTTCTGGAGCAGCCCTGTGGGAGAAGTGCGCACAGTCACAGGGATTCGGCATGTTTCGATGAGGGGGGGCTCGGCGAACCGAGAACCGGGATCATATATACATATATGTGAACCATATATCTATATATATATATATATATATAATGTGTGCATGCGTGTGTTATACTATGTATGTGTATATATCTATTTAGATTTCATATTTTTGTATTCCTACATTGAGCCTGTCCGTTTGCACATTGCACACATTGCAGGACGTTGCTGTCTCCGTGTGCGAAGCCGTGACTGCAACGAGCGCACCTCAAATCTTCACAACCTACTTGTCGGGGGGCTCAGGATGTAGGAAAGAAGATATAGGGTTGGGGAAAGGGGGTTGAGGATTCAAGGCATGGTTCGGGGCTTTGGATTTAGGGGACAGGGTTTTGTGATACAGCACGCTTGTATAAGTATGGGTAAAGGTATCTTGGTGTCGTGCTCTCCTATGGAAACTGTTATCAGCAAGTCTTCTCGCTCCTTCCACAATCAGAAAGAGACAGGATTTAGGGTTTAGGGGCTTAGGGAAGAAATGCGGACAAATACCAAAACCCTTCAAACTGTCATTTTCTTCTTCACTGCACAGAACGCACCGATTTCGCAGTGCTCCTGACGAAAAAATGACGGAACCGACAACGACCTGCCACGGTGCACCCAAGCAGCCTCAGCATGTAAGGCACATGTTACCAGTGGTTTTCTCGCAACCTGAAATGTCGTCCCTAAAACCCCCCAAAAAAGCAAGCACAAATGCTACGAGCACAACCCTGACTTCGAAATCCGTGCCAAGGGGCCCTGGTCCTTCATAACCCTTCTCGCACATCGGCACGACCTCGCGGTGTCTGCTGGAATTCGGGACATGAACGGTTTAGGGTTTAGGGGTTTAGGGCTTTAGGGGTTTAGGGTTTTCGGGGTTTAGGGTTTAGGGTTTAGGGCTTTAGAGGTTTAGGGGTTTAGGAACATTTGGTGAACCCGTCCTGTCGAGGTACACTCCCTGCCACAGACACCCCCCGTTCCGACGTTTCTTGCACCTCGACACACGGCCCGAGCTTTGATAAGGAGGCCTTAGTTGTGTAGCCAAGCTCACCCCACTTCCGCCGCGATGATTCAGAGAAGCGACAGCCCCCCTTCTTCAAGATTTAGGTTTCGTAATACAAGCAGGATGTAGGATAACCCAGCCAGGGCACTTGTAACTCTGCTTACAACTTAGAACCTACTGACTTAATCCCCTGATTCCTAAGTGAGGCATCAGGGATGAAAGAGTTTAAGGCTTCGGGCCCCCAGATAGGGACCTTAAGACTCAAGTCGGAACTCTAAAAATGGTGTCGGTACTTCTTCAGGCTTCTACACCATAGAACCCTCGTAGAAGCCTGCTAAAGGAACCCTCAAAAAGGCTACGTGTTTTTGTTGCCTAGGATGCTTTTCGACTCGGGCTTTCGGGTCTGTGAGGCCTCGTGTGGCTCACGCTGCTCCTGGCCGCTTGCTCGCAGATGCCCGCCGGGGCAAACCACTTCCTGGGTCCAAGGATTCTCGTCGAGGCTTGAGGCTTTGAGGTTTGGGAGCGTAAGGATTCCACTAAACCCTAAACCCCAAACCCTAAACCCTAAACCGTGGGTTCAGGGGGCCTGGAGAAAGTGTGGGACGATACTTAGCTCTCAGCGTACAATGCACTGAAAGCCCTGAGATCACCCTAACCAGAGCCCGACCTGAACCCTAACTAACCTACTAGTAACCTTTTGGGGTTTAGGGTTTAGGGTTTGGGGTTTAGGGTTTAGGGCCTGAACCCTAACTACTGTAACCTTTTTTATTTTGGAAACCTTAACCTTCAAGGCCGAAGAGCCTACAACCCCTTCCCCCGAGAACCTGAATCCTAAGAGCCCTAAGCCGGCAAAACCTGAGGCAACTTTCGGTTCAAAATAGACAGAGGTTCGTTCTGGGTTCTTGATTTAAGGGCTTCGGTTTTGGAGGTTCAAGGCCTTCTGGTTACGATTTTGAATCTTGTTGCTAGGGGGGTGGAAATGGTGTGGAGTTTTCAGGCGTGCTCTTTGGCTTTAAGGTTAGTTGGGCTTGGCCTGGGCCTTTGAATTTGGCGCTTCGCGTATAGGGCGTTTGTGGGTCAGTGGGTCGGGGTCTCTGGGTGGCTGTGGCATTGCAGTTTAAGGCTGGGTCATCCCGCGATATTTAGTCCAAGATCTTACAGGGCCTCGCAGCATGAAGCAATGCTTCAGAGAAAGCCATCCAAAACCTTAAGGTGAACAAGCATTTACAGTGTCCGGTAAGCGGCACCGTTTTGATAATTGTTTGCATTCTGGACGTCAAAATTTTATATAAGCCCATGGTTTGAAGCCAGACTCTGCCGATCAGCTGGGAATCAGCACTGGCAGACTTAACCCTAAGCCCAAAACACGAAAGCCCAAACCCTGAGCCCTAAACGCTCCGAGCCCCACCATGAAATCCCGAGTGGGGTACAACGCTCGCGGGCAGGGAAATAATGCTCATGGTCCAACAGCTTTTAACTTCTGTGTATGTATATATATATATATAACACATAAATACATACATACAGACATACATACATACATACATACATACATACATACATACATACATACATGCATACATGCATACATGCATACATGCATACATGCACACATGCACACATGCATACATGCATACATGCATACATACATACATACATACATACATACATACATACATACATACATACATACATACATGCACACATACATACATACATACATGCATACATAC